GGGGGGGGGGAACTCCCACATAAAATGGACGGGGGGTGTTCGTAGTATCTTTAGGGGTTAAAATGTGGTTTTGGTACCTCTCAGGGTGTTGAGCCTTAAAAGGTCTACAGCGGGAGCGTTTCCGGTACCATTTGGGATATTGAACTTGATCAAAATATTGATAAACTGATTTTTACTTTTGTCTCATTTACAATCGTCTTTATCGCTCTCAAAATTTATGAAATTGCAAGATAACGTGATGGATGTTTTAGAATTGGTATCTCTCGTTTGGGGGTGAAATAATTCCAAGCGACGCCCACCATACAGCATCTTGGTCCATCTTAGGGGTTGTTTCTTTCCGATTAGCAGCTCCGTCCCCTTTATATGGGAGTCCCCCGCGGTATTGAGCAGTTTTAAATCCCAGGTGAATTTAATGAAGTGATTTGGATTTGTGCCTGCATAAACGGGTCATCCATCTCATCCGTTTGTCAGTTACTGAGCCTGTATTCATGTGTACATGAATACAGGGGAACGAATAATAGATAGGAACGGTTCTGAAACTCGACAAAAAGTTCGTTGTTGTATGTTTTTGTTCTCTTTTTTGGCCTTGACCCTGCACAAAACACAATAGTTTTTTACTACTGACCGAGGAACTAACAAATCGAAACGTTTTGGCACAGTGTATGAACGCAAAACAAAAGATTGTGCACGGTCGTGGACCTTCCAACATAAATCTTGGTATCTTTGACTGCTTCTTTGATGTTTGCCGGGCTTCATAACCATTCTTCTCTATTAACTATGATGTGTGCGCGACTAATTAACCTAAATTATTCATATCTGAAAGGTTCATAGTTCGAGAAAGAAAAAAATACGCATTTGCGTGACACTTTTTTTCCTGTTGCTTTATTTTCTAGGGGATACCTTGGCGTTGAGGACATGACAGTCGCAAAAAGCTGTCGACTCTTCCTCGCTCTGACAGGTTCCACGGAACTCGCTAACAGTGAAGGCACTTACAGATTTCATTCGCTCACCGTGGCTGACGGGGGAGAGGTGACTTCCACTCCAGATGTCAATAGCAACTCGCTAACACTGGACATCGATGACGTCGCGATTCAGGGTGGTGGAATTCTCCACATGGTGCGCATGCGGATTTTGGCTGGGAACTTCACTGTGGATGATCTGGGACATGTTCGAGGCGACACGCTCGATAACAGGTTCGTTTCATCGGNAGATTAGTACAGATATTCCCCGGTAGATTCATTATGTCAGGAGGTTTAACGGTTTCCTACGGCGGGAAGTTTGTTGTTTAGGGAGACTTTCTAAACAACAGATTTTCATTTGATCGGATATGAAGGAGGAGGGAGTCGTTGTATCAGCGCTTGTTATTTCATGGCTGTAATGTACTTCACAAATGAAAACTCTCCTAGCTAAACGTTTTGTTTTTCTTCCAGTTGTACCACCGGCGCAGGCATCGCAGGTGCAGATGGGTCCTCGGGTGCAGGGCATGGTGGGAATGGAGGACGCGGAAGGGATCAAACACGTGTTGGAGTGGCATACGGTCACGTGTACGAACCTGAACACTTTGGGTGTCGAGGTGGTGGCACAGGGGGATTGGGCGGAGGTATAATACGCATGTCCGTCAGGGGAAACCTGCAAATTGACGGAAAGATCAGCTGCAACGGTGCTGCTGGTCAGCAGTCTCGCTCTGGAGGAGGAAGCGGCGGAAGTATATGGATTGACACCAATTTAATGAAGGGATACGGAGCTGTGCAGGTCAATGGAGGACGCGGCAATGTGGAGACACTGTAAAGAATTATTGTTTATTTGTAATGTTAGGTCGTTTGACCCACAGGACTCGTGACATTTTTTAAAAGTAGTTATAACCCCGGAGGGGAATCCCATATAAAAAGGACGGGGGGTGCTCGTCGTACCTTTTAGGGGTTAAAAACGCGGTTTTAGTACCTCTTAGAGTGTTCAGCCTCAAAAGATCGATAGTGGGAGCTTTTGCGGTACGCCCACGCCCACAAAACATGATCTTGGTACCTCCTAGGGGTTCTTTTCAAAATGTTCCGAAGAACACCCCTGTCCTTTTTATGTGGGATTCTCCCCCGGGGGTTATCCCACGATAAATTAAGATTGGTAGATTGGCACTGATTACGGAGACGAGCACGAACTATAGTGTGGAATTCCAGTGTAGGTCGCTATCTAATGAGGACAAACAAACGGCAGAAGCTTTCTTCAATTAGAGACAGAAATTTAAAAATTAAGTGCTCTTTTCTCCCTTTTACGTTTCAGACACAATTTGTTCCATGGCGGCGGGGGAGCAGGAGGTCGGATAGCAGTGTACTTCCGAAGTAACAGGACCTACAGTGGGGTGTTTGAATCCTTGGGGGGAGATGCTACCGGGGAAGCTCTCCCTGGTGGAGCCGGGACCGTGTTCCTGTACCATCTCATTCACAAACACCGCACACTTCTGTTAAACAATGCCGGCAGAAAGACCCTCCCTGCCGAACATAGAATCATTAACGACTACTCAGACCCATCTCTGATATCAGGTAAAACGTGGCTCCTTCCAAGCTCTGGAGAATACAACTTCTCGGGCAACCAAAATTATCACTTTGAAGAGCTACAAATTTATGGTGCTGCCCAGTTGGCCATCTTAACCGAGCCGCACAATCGGTCCGCAACGATTTTTTTCCGAAACATGATCGGTGATCGCACAGGGACCATTCATGTCGGCCACAACCAGACCATGGATTTGATCCGACCAAGTATCGATTTACCGTTCAGTGTTCGTGTTTACCGAGGCGGGTTTCTCGGTCTAGCTCCATCAACAGAAGTTCACGGAGTTGAGATACATGTAGATGGTGTGATATCGTACATCAGAAACTTAACATTACATCATGGCGGACTGTTGGCGTTGAGGGAAGACTCGCGGACTGGGAACGAGGCAATGGAAAACGATTTCAAGTTTGACTTTATCCGTGTGCAGTTTGAAGGTGTCGTTCAAATGATGTCGTCACCTGTAACACATAATGGGATGAATTTGACCGTGCGAGTACTGCATATCGAGGGTGGTGGTAAAGTAGAAGGAAGTGATCTTCGAATCCTTGCTGAAAACATCAGTATCAACACAGAGGGTCTTTTGACAGTTAGTGGCCACGGGTATAGACATGTTGATGGAACGGGCAAAGGTGTTCATGGGACGATCAACCGAGGACTTGGGCCTGGAACTGGCGTGGCAGCCTCTGGTGGAGGTCACGGGGGCACCGGAGGAAGGGGAAAGAGAACGCCTAAAGTAGGCTTACCCTACGGAAACATGTACGAACCAATAGAGTTTGGAAGTAGTGGCGGAGGAGCTACTGGAAAACAAGGTAAACGAGAAATGTGATTTGAATGTTTGAAAAAAATGGTAAATTCATACAGAAAACGTTATTAGGGAACAAAATATTGCTCTCAGCTCTCCTCTTTTTTTTCATTCAAGTTTCCATAAACCATACCTTAAGCGCTTTAGACAAAAACGTGACCATATTTCCTTTTTCATCATTTCACTTCTGGCATTCTCTGAGTCATACCTTATGATCACATGGTCACATGAAATCTATACCTAGCTACATAGGGATTGTATTGTGTCGTCATCCCCTCCATGCATGGGAGCCGTGGACACAAAAACACCTAAAGGTAGACAACAACATGAAATATCACAAATATCCAACACAGTTCACCATAGGTCCATGACCTTTTTCTTGCTGAATTACTTTTCAGGTGCTGGGGGTGGAACAATTTTTTTGAACGTCACCAATCTTTTGGAAATCGATGGTGCTCTCTCGGCCGACGGTGCTGACGCACAACCCCAGGGAGGAGGAGGCAGTGGCGGTAGTGTATGGATCTACTGCTACATCATCAAAGGATTCGGAAAGATCACTGCTAATGGCGGCTCATCTCCAGAAGATACTTCGGTTAATCATTATCACGGGGGTGGCGGAGCAGGCGGACGTGTTGCTGTCTACTTCACGAAGAACGATACTTTCTCCTACTTCAGGTGGTTATATTCAGATACATACAAATACCATTATTGTTAGCTTAGCTGCCTTTCTAAATACCCCTTAGGGATAATCCCTTATGTAGGCTATACAGGTATGTGCGACCCCAAAGGGTATGCTTTTTATTTTTTTTTTGCAGTTTTGGTCAGAAATAGTGTATTGATTTTGGCCATTTTTGTCTCAAATATGGTATGGTTTTTGCACTCTTGACTTGAATTGGGTGTGTGTTTCCTACCTAATGAAACATATAAACATTTCCTTTGCCATGGTCTGAACTAGGGAACTAATTATAAGGCGGGTCTGAAACAGGGTATTGATCTAATGGTCGGGTCTGAAAAAGGGCATCGAATTTTTGGTCAGGTCATAAATAGTCCAGGAAAACTCGCAGATTTGGGTCTTAAATAGGGTAAGGGTTTTGAGAATCGGGCTGCACAACCCCACCCATGTTTTCTGGGAGTAACCCGCCCCCCAGCCCTGGGGCAAATGTTGATGGCAAATTCCTATTTGAAATGGATTTTTCATGGTGTCTTGACCTTCATGAGAGCAACTCACATGAAACACCTGCGGCTGCTAAGCTCATAGTCACGAACGTGCAAAGTAAATGCTGTAGCTATGGTGACGTGGATATTTTCGGAGAACTTTCCTGTTCTCGTGATATGTTTCGATTGGATAAAATGATCGGAAACTTTACGAGTCCTTCAACTAAGACTCTAAATCTCTCTTATTATCATTATCTTTAATTTTGGAATCATTGGGATTTAAATATAAAACATTGAGTAAAAATTGTTGAGAACCTTAAAACCATCTGGTTAAAAGTTTAAGGAAGTAAAAATGATGCGGCGATGTTTCGACATTCGCGTAACGCCATTATTAAGTCAGAGTTAAATGAAATTGTGTGCAAATATAAACTCTATTCGCGCAAAACTTTTTACATGTCTGTGTGTGCTCATACCTAATTTCATCATCACCACTCGTTTACTCTATTTTTTCGTGTCTCTTAGGTATTCTCGGGTCGTTTTGGATGAACAAACACTTTGCGAAACGACATAGTTCGACAGAGTTGTGTAAGCATAACGGGAAAAACTTTGTAACTTCGCTGTTCAAGAAAGATTATTATTGTATGGCTTGTTCTTGTAGCCGATGTAACGCGTGCTCTGATTGTAGGGCATTATTCTCCCGTAATACAACCGGGCCGATTACGGGCTTGCAAAAACAAAGCAGAAAGCCGCATAATAAATAACTTATTAAATTAACTTCGAACGTTGGGTCTTAACGAGGAAATCTCAAACCTCGGCCTTGCCGTATTGACCTCGCTCGGTCAATACGGCAAGGTCTCGGTCTGAGATTTCCCCGTAAAGACCTCACTCTTGGTTAATTAGTTAATCTTCGAAAAGATGAGATTTTAATTAAAAAGGTACTCCTTAGATTATGCAACTGTTTTTTGTTTCTCTGTAAAGTTACCAAGCTCATGGAGGACAAGCCAAGGAAGGTCTACAGAATGTGGAAAATGGCGGACCAGGGACTGTGTTTCTGTATCATTTGGTGCATACCCATCGCACATTGCTCATTGACAACAATGGTGGCAAACCGCTGAATAAACATATCAACTACGCTAAGTTGGACGAAGAAGGCGGCAAGGCGTGGGTGATGCCTGAGTCAGGAATCCATCATTTCGCTGCCCAGGAACACAAGTTTCACTTCGAGGAGTTACAGATCTACGGCAGAGGGCATCTGGGTGTTTGGCCTCGCGCGGGGAACGACTCAAGAAATGTCTCGCTCTTCTTTAGATACATGATCGGTGATAGGAGCGGTATGGTGCATATAGGAGATAAGCAAGTTATGGACTTGAAACGGCCTGAGATTGATCTCCCCTTCAGTGCGCAAGTCTACAGCGGAGGGTTTCTTGGTCTGGCCCCTGACACGGAAATCCATGGCGTGGAGATTATCGTGCGAGGTATTCTGGCCTACATTCAAAATATCACTTTGCACCATGGTGGTGAGTTGTGGTTGAATCATGGCGGACAGACAGACAGTGAGGTAGCCAACCATTACGACTTTGACATCATCCGAATCCAGGATACAGCAATCATCCACTGTGTCACATCTCCGATTAATGACCCAGGCATTATTTTTACAACTCGCGCGGTGTACATTGAAGGAGGGGGACTGATGCGAGGTTCCCGCCTCACATTTGTGACAGAAAATATCACAATCGACGATGGTGGGTCGCTGATTGCGGATGGTCTTGGTTACAATACGTCACATGGTTACCAAGGAAACGACTTTTACGGGTCCCCGATCAATCCCGGCCACGGTATTGACGATAACGAAGGAGCGTCCGGAGCTGGTCATGGCGGCAGCGGGGGACGAGGAAGCCTTACATCGGGGACTCCTAAAACGGGCTTCGCCTACGGGGATTTATACGAGCCGTACATATTTGGTAGTGCGGGTGGTAAGGGCTGGAGTGGCACCCGAGGGGGTAATGGTGGGGGTATGCTGTGGATGAACGTGACAGGACTGATCGATGTGGATGGTTTGGTGTCAGCTAATGGTGAAGATGCGTTATCACTGACCGGAAGTGGAGGTGGTAGCGGTGGAAGTATCTGGATGTTTTGCAAGACCATCAGAGGTTATGGCAGAATAGCGGCTAATGGAGGGGCCGGCTCGAGTCACATTTCATACCCTGGGGGTGGTGGATCGGGAGGCAGAGTTGCTATATACTTTCAGGTGAATGAGACATCCACGTACTTCGTGTATGAGGCGCGAGGTGGAAGGGCTCTTGGATGTGAGGTTGGCAAAGAGCATCTCTGTAAAGCCGAGGCTGGTGGCCCGGGTACTGTATTTCTGTATCACATGATTCACACGCACCGCACTTTACTCATCCACAACGGAGGACAAAAACCACTGGTATCCGCAATAGCGGACTACAATGATTTAACAGCAGACGGCTGTCGCGCTTGGATTTTACCACAGTCAGCAAATCACGACTTTGCTGGGAAGGGACGTGATTTTCACTTTGAAGAACTTCAGATCTATGGAGGCGGTCATCTGGCTTTACTAACCGAACCAGTTGCGCGTAATGCGTCGCTGTTTTTCCGTCACATGATCGGGGATCGTACCGGTACCCTCCACGTCTCGACCAATCAAGTCATGGATTTACACCGGCCGGAAATAGATATCCCGTTTAGTGTACACGTCTACGCCGAAGGATATCTCGGCCTGGCGCCGTACACGGAAGTCCACGGCGTAACGTTGTTCATTTCCGGCACGGTAGACCACATTCAGAACATGACGATACATCACGGCGGAGCGTTCTGGATGTATCACGGCGGAAACACAGCCAATCAAACCAACAGTTCGTTCGAATTTGATACCGTTCGAGTGCAGGACAACGGCGTCATGCAAGCCTTCACTTCTCCAATCATTCATCCTGGAATCACTATCATTGCCAGAGCATTCTTTATCGAGGGAGGCGGACTGTTCCATGGCACAAGAATGACTGTTCTTGGAGAGAATATCACCATTGATGACGGAGGCCTGATGTCGGCGGATGGCCAAGGATACAACAGGTAAGATGTTGTGCGTAGATACGCATTTTTGAACATTATCAGTGCTACAGTTGTTCATGTAATGTGATCTTTCAGGTGAGAGTAGTCCTGGAAACGGCTGTTTATGGTGACTGACGTTTTTAAAACAACCTAAGCGGAAGTAATCATGAGTCAAATGAAAGTTGTTTGTCGTGCAGTTGATGGCATTAAGATGGTGTTAGCTTTAGTACCATCGACAGACAAACACTTTTCAAGTAAACTGTGATGATGACTTCTGTAGAATATGTAGAAAAGTCAGTCGCGAACAACAGTTCTTTCAGAAGCCCTTACTCAGGCTCTCAACAGGACAGTGATACTATATACGAACTACTGATACTCCTGGGTTCAAACCACTTACTACAAACACCATTGGTGCTGTAATGCTGTAGTGCTGAACAGCAAAACGGACTTTCCTTAAAATTAATATCCGTTAAATTACTACAATAGCGTGAAGATATCGTTAACGTGAAGCGATAAAAGTATTAAGCGACAAGAAAACGTTTAGGATTGTTCTGTGGATGCTTTCTGGTGTGCATTTAAACCCAAGTCATTTAAATCGCCGTCACTTTGCTTTATAATCACATCTTATGTTAATAGCTGAGAACAATGTCTTAAAATCAAAGAAAGCCTTAAGGTATACGTCTGCAAAGGTGAGTAAATCACCAAATAGGTAGAAGTGAGCCAAAAGGAACAAGGTCAATCTCGTTCCCAGAGTCTTCGTTCCCCTTGACCAGCGGTCGGAAAACGAGAGCTCTGGGAGCAAGCATTTTGAAATAACCGAATCCTGCCCATCCGGTTTCACTGCGCAGTCTGCATCTATGGCGCATGCCTGAGATGGTTGCTCCCAGAGCTCTTGTTTACCGACCGCTAATCAAGGGGAACAAAGACTCTGGGAACCAGATTGGTACAAGGTCGGTTAAAATTGAAGAAGACTGAGACGCATGCGCACTGATAACGACGAGCGTGAAAATGAAGGTTTTTCAAGAAACTCACACCTGGCACAGTAGGCTTTAAGCCCCGTCCACACTACGCCGGAAGAATTTGAAAACGGAGCTTTATTTCTACGGTTCGGCTTTCTGTCCACACTGCTCCGTCAAGGAAACGGAGCTTTTCGAAAACGCTCTTCAAACCGGAGGAATTTGAAAACGCTTGCGTTTCGTTTTGGCACGAGGGGCAAAACGTTTTGAAAATGAAGCTTTTCGAAAACGTCGGCGTCACGATAACCATGTCATTTCCCTGGCAGAGTTTTCCTCAAACACCGGTCACTGTTGTTAAATTTCGTCGCGTAGTGTGGACGGAAAACATTTGATGCTTTTTCAGAGTGAAACCTCAGTTTTCAAATTCCTCCGGCGTAGTGTGGATGGGGCCTTAATGGTTGAGCTCTCGTTATCTTAACCTTGCGGTATTTGTCCACAGGAGTCACCCACAAGGATCAGCACTTCACGGCATCATCAACCCAGGCATCGGATCCTCAAACATCTACGGTTCCTCAGGCGCTGGCTGTGGAGGCCGAGGGGGACGAGGCACACATTCCGCAGTTGTCGGAACTGCTTACGGAGATCTATACGAACCCGTCAGATTCGGAAGCTCGGGCGGAGGAGAGAAGTCAGGAAGAGGAGGTGGCGTGATCTGGTTCAATGTCACCAACGTCATTCAAATAGACGGCGAGGTTTCTGCGGACGGACTCGCTGGCGGTGATTCTGGTAGTGGAGGCGGGAGTGGAGGAAGCATCTGGATGCATTGTTACCGAATGAAAGGTGCGAATGTAAAATTGGATGTCCTCGATTGCTTAGTCTCTTTTTTTTGTCGGTTTCAAGGTTGTTGCAGTCCTGGGGTATTTTCTATATTTCCAGTTATTTGATCAATAGAATTCTCCTAATATACTTTTTCAAAGTTTGCGTTCTGAATGTTCTCGCCATCGCATACTATTTAACAATTACATTATGATGAGACCGAAGGCCGAATCATCTATCATCTCATAGAAATCGAGGGCGAATAATCTAATTGTTTTA